AAAAAAAAAAAAAAAAGCCTGTAAATAGTTCAAAGTCTGTTGACCTTTAGCAGAGTTTTCCAGTTGCATCTGATGGGGTGCCAGGTCCTGGCCCCAAAGTCTGTTTTTGGTGTTCACTTGGGACTTCCTTGCTCTGCAACCTTTGCTGTTCTGTTGCACACCATTAGTATTTTGCCTCGTGTGGTGGGGTCAGATGGGGTGAAATTCCTGCACTGTGGCTCCAGTGTTGTCCCCCATAGGACTATGGGTCAGTGAGGGATGTCGTGTCTTATAGTAGGGCCAGCCATTTGGTCCTCTCTGTGCATTGGCTGCTCTGAGCAGGGATATTGTCCTCAAGGCTTGGTGGGCTAGGATGTGCTCCGGTCTCTCTTCCTCCCCCTTCACTTGTTCCCGTATACTCTGCTCAGACATGTCCCTCTCTCTGGGCTGTAGCTTCAGAGCTGTCCTCTGAAGTAAATTCTTCTGGAGGGAGGAGGGTTGTCCACATAGTTGGGATTGGGGCCAGACCCTCAGTCCTCTCTATTGGTTCCTGATTCATGCCATTATTAAACTCAATCTCACTGACTCCCAGATGTCCTTGCCCTGGACTTTCCCTGCTCTTTGACATCTGTGCAGTGCCATTGGATTCACTTCACTGTGGCCTAGTTGTTGGTCACTTGTTGGCAAACTCACTTGAATATTGGTTATCACTGTTTTGTTAGGGCCCAGCTTTTGAATGATGATGCTAGTGAAAAATATTGAAAGTACCATGGGCTGTCAAAAGAACAAATGATTCTGTCTTGGAAGAAATACAGCTTGGATGCTCCTTACAGACCTAAGGATAGTGAGATTATGGACATGCTCTAAAGAGAAACCAGTCTCTGAATAGGATGTCATGCTCAGTAAAGCAGGGGGCAGAGAAAAAGTGGAAGGCTCTTGGAAAGATCAATTGACACAATGCCTGCCAACAATGGGCTCGAACATCAGAACAATATCAGGATGGGCCAGGACTGGCCAGTGTTTCGTTCTGTTGGACACAGTGTTGCTGTGCATCAGAATTGGCTCGAGCGCACCTAACAGCAATAACAACAACACAGAGTATAAGCCACAGGAAATATGGCTTTTATAGAGGAAAGAGACAGAGAGAGGGGAATATTTGTAGGAATATGAATATTACAATTTGCACTGTAAATGACAAATAAAATCTTGAGCTAATTTAAGAAACAAGCAAGGTGGGTGGGGGAAGGCTGGGAGCCAACAAGTGTTTCAAGGAGTCCAAGGTTTGAGGCAGAAAGAATTCTGGAAAGCGCAGAAACTGAAATTAGAGACTTGGTTGCCTCTGAATCTCTGGGTGATTTTGTTTGCGCTTTTGTGTAAATGCAGGCGTTGGGTCATTCAACAAGCATTTATCAAAGATCTACCATGTATTCCGGCAACAAACATTTATTGAAGATCTACCATGTATCCAGCACTTTTCTAGAAGCTGGGATACAGCCATGAGCAAACATAAACCAATTATTTTCCTCCTGTAGCTGACTTTGATGTAGTGGAGAACAGTTGCATCCTTCCTGTGCTGACACACTTCCCTTCTACAAAATGTTATTTCAGAGTTGCACTGCTGAATCTGATTTTGAGGAGAGCATGAGACCAACCCGTGTGAGGGGTCCTTCTGGTACAATCTACTGTGGCATGGGTTAAATAGGGATGTTGGGAGAAAGGCCCATCCTACTTGTGGATAGGAAGAGATCTTAGGGAAAGTTATCTTGAGGGACATCCCAAAATGTTTCCACTTAAATAAATGAGTGAGTAAAACTACACGAATGAGTGAAATGATAGAGATTCATTCATTTGTTAGATAGATATTTGTTGAGCATTTCTTGTGATATGCAGTTTAGTGGACTCAGACCCAATGACCTTAAGTACAACGAAATGTAACATTGCTTAGACCTGCCTTGTCCTTATAATCATTAGTATATTTGAGTCCATTGTTGTCACCTCTGTGTCAATCCATTCCTTGTAGGCCTCACTCTTTCTCACTGAACCAAACACATAGAACAAAGTGAGCCCAGCACAAGTACTAGTCAGGTGTGGGCTCTACTGGTAAGGCAGACACAATGTGATAAGACATAGGCCAACAGAGAAAGATAGGTCGGTGAGAACCATTTGAGGCTATTTGATATGTGTCAGTGCAAAAAGGATACAACTCCTCATTGTTCTGAATTTTCCTGTTGACAGTCCCAGGTGAATTTAAGTCTTAATAGGTGAGTCTATTAAACTTACTACATTCTCAACATACATGAGCAAAAACACCATTCTTATTCAGTTAAAATATAGTGAGTGTTAGTTAGACCTTTGGTGTGTACCAAAAACAACTCTTATAATTTGTACCAATATACTGTTGTTATGATCACCTCGAATTTTCAAATGGATACACTGTGTCATATAGAAGAGGGTGTTTAAAGTTTATTATTAGAGCTGTGATGTGAACCTAGGTAGCTTGGCAACAGAGTCTACCTAGTTAACTGCCACACCTTTTTGCCTGACCTCTGGCTTACTGGAGTACATTCAACATAATCAGCTGTGTCTTTTGAATCCATTACTTAACCAAATATAGAAATAGTGACTAAAAAAAATTTTTTTTACTGTAATTGACATTAACTAGCAGAAACTGAGAGCTGATTGGACATGAATAGTATTTCTGTTAATAGAAAATACTTCATTATTGAGTATATAAACTTTCTAATGGCCATCAGTGTAATGGTAAATCATTGGGGGCATTTTTAGTGGTTCTTTGTGCCACATCATACCTCAAAAAGGGGAAACGTGGTCCGAACCACAAAGACAATGGAGGCTAGCAGGACAGGGGGCACATGAACGGCCCAGGAGAAGTCTGTGGTAGTTGGAGCAACTGCATTTTAAAAAATCATAATTTCCAAAAACCATCCAATGTTCTGGAAGGCATTACTTCCCCAATCTGTGTGGACAAACTGAGCTTTGGTTCTTTCCCTGCTGTTACACTGAACAGCTCAGTCCTCGGCTCCACTCTGCTGGTAATCCTGCTTGGAGAAAGGAGAGGGCTTAGTATTCTGCAATGTCCATCTCTTCCAAATGCTTCTTCTATCCATAATCTCTCCGTGAGCTCTCCACTCCATACTACCTTCCCCCCACCCCTACCCTTTTTCTTCAGAGCTCAGGTTACAAATTTTATCTCCTATCAGGGGCAGCTGTTCCAGTGTTTCTCCTTCTTTCAGTCAACAAATGTAGGCTGATCATCTGCTATGCCCATGCTGTGTCATGGGCAATGAATTAAAGGGAAGTACTCCAAAGTGCTCAAAGCCCAGAACTATGATTGAAGGTAAAAGGCCTTCTACATCTCTTATACAATGGAAAATAGAGACAAACATGAAATGCTGTGTTGTTAGTGGTGCAACAGAAATAGATTGATGGCAAAACTATATGGACTTGAAAGACTAGTAAATGTAAGGATCTAAAGAAGCTGAGAGAGACAAGGATCTTCCTCTTGTCTCATGCATGCACGTATGACAAAGTGGGAGGGAAGAAGGAAGGGAGCGAGGGAGAGAGACAGACAGAGAGAGAGAATGCCTTTATCGACAACCTTAATTTAGACTCCTAGGCTCCAAACCACTACTTGTCTGTCAATTTGTCTTCCTGTACTGTGGTGGCTTGTGTGTTGTTATGATGCCGGAAAATATATCACCGGTATTTTAAATACCATTAGCATCGCTCAAAGTGAACAGGTTTCAGCAGAATTTCCAGCCTAAGAACAGACTACAAAGAAGGAATAAGCTGTCCACTTCTGAGCATTAGCCACAGAGAACCTTATGAACCACAGGGCTAGAGTGGCAAGACTTCATCTCACGTACTTTGGATGTGTTACAAGGAGAGACCAGTCCCTGATAAAAGACAGTCTGCTTGGTAAAGTAGAAAGACAATGAAAAAGAGGAAGCCCCTTGATGACATGAATTTATACAGTGGAAGCAATGATGGACTCAAGTAAATAATTGTGGGGATGGCTTAGGACTGGGCAATGTTTTATTCTGTTGTACATAAGATAAACTATGAGTCAGAACTAACTTGATGACACCTGACAATGAAAACAGCAAGCTCCTAACCTGTGGTACAACAATTCCTATTCTGTAAAGCCACCCATTGGTAGTTATTATTTTGTTCCAGCAGCACTAGGTAACTGAACCGCTGGATTGAGTAACTGGCCCCAGGAAGCAACAAGAAGCCTTGTTCTTCACAACGGAAGCTGCTCAAGCTGGAAATGAGAGGACTCAGAAGGAAAGACCATTTGCCTTCAACTCTGAAAAGTGGTCTGGACAGACTTCAGATCTACACAGGAGTAATCAAAACGTGAACAAGAATAAAAGAGCCTTCTTGTGGGGAAGTGAGCTCCCCATTGCTGGGAGTGGAGAGCAGATGCCCGAGGGGTGACTGAAGGCAGGTACAGATTCACCTAACAAGGCTTTATGCCATGACTTTCTCATACTCTCAACTCAAACCCTCCTTGCTGTCCCACTGCCAGAATCCCTAGTTCTTACCTCATACTTGTGTCCGAAGAGCCAGTGAGAGGGAGGTGATGGGAACTGCTGCAGAGCTTTGAGCAGCCATTGCCTGCGCAGGTAGAACTGGGCCACCTTGATAAGCAGTAAAATCAGGCTGAGCAGGAAGGCCCCTTGGAAGGGTCCAGGGATAACTCTTAAGAGTCCCATGGGGCTTAGCATGGAGATACTCATGGTGCAGTTGGATCACAAGCTGATTATTTCACCGCCTTTGACCACCTCTGCTCAAGTCTAGGGAGGATTGTCCCTCCCACTTTTTGGGAGGTGAAAAGATTGAGGGCAGATCTCAGTTTGGCTTTGGAGGATTGACTAATATTGGAAAGCCCATCTTGCAGAACAGTTGGAGAACACTCTGTTATAATCAGATGCTGTGATAACGGCCATATACCCACAGACTTGACCCACTTCAGTTACATCAACAAATATATAATGAGCACTTACTGAGTGCCAGCCAACATGCTAGGTGCCAGGAAAAAACTGTAAGCAAAAAGTCACGATCTCTGACTTCAAAGGATTCAAGTGTAGTTTATCAAAATTTCAGTAGATGTGCAAGGTTGTTACTGCTGCTATTTTAAGGTGAGATATGAAGAGCCTGTGTACTCCAGTGATAACACTGGAGTAAAACAACTAATGAGAATCTGATTGGGAATGGAATCATTCCTGTTCTGCTCCAAAGTAGCCCATACCAGTTGACTCTGAAATGCTCCTTGGTGTATTCCAGTAAATCAATCAAACTTAACCTGGGGTGACTGTGCTTAGAGGACAGAATCCTGGACTTAGGCCCCAAGCTTCAGGTTCAGCCTCTCTGCTTACAAGCTTAAAATCTCTTAGCCTTGCTTTCTTCCTTTTTGAAGGGAAAGTTCTTCATGAGCTTGCCCATTAATTTACTTATTCTACAAATATTTCTTCAGTTCCTACTCCTGAGGGTCAAAGCAGAAACAAATTAGTACAATATAATAAGATAAAGCTGTACTCAAGGAACAATAGCAGAATAAATATATGCAGGCCTAATGAGAGACCCATGGGGTTCATCAAACTATTCAAAAGATGAAAAAAGAAAACACAGACTCAACCATCATAGTAGGTGACTTTAGTACACTGCTATCAGAGAAAGATAGTTCACCGGGAAAGAAGCTCAGCCAGGAGGCTACAAAGGTAAGCAATAATATTAGGCAAGTAAACCTGATAGATATTTATACAGCTCTCCATACAACTGCAAAAAAAATCACATTATTTTCAAGTGCATATGGCTCATTTTCTAAAATAGACTACATGCTGGGACACAAGTCAAGCCTGAGTAAATTCAAACACATAGAGGTCACTCAGATGTCCCTCTCCGACCACCACCCCATAAAGCTGGAGACCAACAAAAGGATGACCAGAAAAATAAGGGTAAACATTTGGAGGATGAATAACAACGGATCTTCTGTGACACAAATGGCTACTCGTCCAGATTAGAGCAGAAAGTACGAAGTGTCTAGAACCCAAGGAGAATAAGATTGCAGTGTACCAAAACCTCTCAGATACAGCACAAACAGTTATCAGAGGAAGTTTGATAGCAATTAATGCATATATGAAAAAGGAAGAGAGACGTATGGCTTATAAACTATCATAAAACCTCCAGCAACTAGAACAGAGTCAACAGAACAACCTCTCCAATAGTAAAAGAAAAGAAATAATAAAAATCAGGGCAGAGTTAAACGAATGAGATACCAAGAGAACAATGCAAAAAATCCATGCAGAAAAATGGTCGAATGGTTCTTTGAAAGGATAAACAGGATTGACACAGACTGCTGGCAACCTTAACCAAGAAATGAAGGAGCAAATATCAATAGCCAGGATGAAGGATGAAACCAAGGAAATCACAAAGGACCCCAATGAGACTAAAAGGATAAACACAAAGTACTATGAAAGTCCATGTTCTAATGAATTGAACAGTGTGGAAGACATAGACAAATACTTGGAAAAGCAATCCCTCGCTAGATTATCCAGATAGAGGTCAAGAACCACCAAAGACCAATAGCAAAAAGAAATATTGATATAGTGATCAAGAAACTGCCAAAGGAAAAAGCTTCCAGACCACATGGATTCACAAGAGAATTCTATGAAGCATTCAGGGAAGAGTTGACATTGATCTTCCACGAATTATTCCAGAGCATAGAAAAGAATGGCAAACTCCAAAACTCATGCTATGAAGCCAGTATAACTTTATACCCACACAGGACAAGGATCCCACAGCACCACAGACAGATACCTCTAAGGAACATAGATTCATTAGGTAAAAATCCTTATGAAAATATTGGCCAATAGAACACAAAAGTATATAAAACATATCATCACCATGATCAGGAATGCAGGGATGGTTCAAAACCCAAAAGTTCATCAACATAATCCATCACATTGATAAGAAAAATGATAAGAATCACAGGATAATATTGAGACTCAGAAAAGGCATTTGACAACATCCAACACCCAAACTTAATTAAAATACACAGGAAGAGAGGAATGGAAGGAAAATTCCTCAAGCTAATACAAGTCATTTATGAAAAGCCAAGAGTCAACCTCATAGTCAATGGAGAATACAAAAACAATCCCACTGAAAAAGGGGGCCAGACAAGGATGCCTCTTGTCCCCACTTTTATTCAACATCATAGTGGAACTCCTAGCAAACAACCTAACGCAGCAGAAGTACTTTAAAGGTATCTGTATGGGAAAAGAGGAGGTGAAACTATTGCTATCTGCAGACAAAATGATTCTCTGCATTGAAAAGCCTCAAAGCTCCAATACAGGAGTGCTGGCAGTGATAGAGGAATAATGGAAGAGTGACAGGATACAAGATCAACAAACAGAAATCTATTGGATTGCTATATGTATTGGACACGACCACAGAAGAGGAGACCAAGAAGGCAGTACCCTTCACAATAGCCATTAACAAATTGAAATCTCTATGGATATATCTAACCAAAAGAATAAAAGACTTAAAGAAAACTACAGGATCCTACTACCAAAAAAAAAAAAAAGCGACCTCGACAAATGGGAGAATATCCCATGCTTCTGGATTGGAAGACTCAATATAATAAAGATGTCAATCTTATCCAAGGCATTATATAAGTTTAACGGTATCTTGATTCAAATACCAACAACCTTCTTCAAGTAATTGGCAAAACTGACCACCAGTTCCATATGGAGAGGGAAGAAGTCCAGAATTAGCAGAGAACTCCTCAAGAAGAAGGCCATAGTCGGAGGGTTCACTTTATGTGACTTCAATACCTACTATACAGTCACAGTGGTGAAAAATAGCATGGTACTGGAATAATGCCAGATACTCAGAACAGTGGAAAAGAACAAAAAACCCAGAAATAAAGCCATCACCATATGGACAGCTGATCTTTGGCAAGGAACCCAAACGCAGCAAGTGGGAAGTGGATGCCCTCTCTAACAAGTGGGGCTGGAAACAATGGATATCCACTTGTAGAAAAATGAAACAAGATCCTTTCCTCACCCCCTGCACAAGAAAAGACTCAAGATGGGTCACAGACCTAGAAGTAAAATCGCAAACTAACAGGACCATCAATAAAGGAATCAGGACACATTGAAGAACCTCAGCACAGGTAATACATAGGCTAACTGTAATAGGGAAGTAAAATGATAGAGTTCCAATTCAGAGAATACTACTAGCCACCAGAAGTGGGAGAAACAGGCAAAAGAGTCTGTCTTAGAAAGAGTGCATTCTGCTGACACCTTGATTTCAACTAAATAAGGCTTATTTTGGATATCTAGTCTCTAGAACAATGAAAGAACAAAATTAGCTTGTTTAGACACCACAATTGTGAAGTGTGTTTCAAGAACGTGGGAAATGAATGCAGTTGAGTTATAATCCACTCCTTAATGCATAGAATCACAATTTGCTTATTTGTAAAGTCACTTAACAAATATTTCTTCTGCTTTCAAATGAATCCGTACATTGGTCTCTGCTAATATATTACTGACCCTATTCATCATGTCTTGGTACCAAAGAGGGAAAAAGAGTAATGTCAACAAAAGAATAGGGTTTGAGAGGAATTTGAATTCAACCAGTGGAAATTTCTCAAAAGAGGACCAATACATTTGTGTGAGAGCAAGGAAAGTTGTCTTCAACAATCCCTCCTTCTGTTTCTGTTTGTATATTTTTGAAATGATTATTTTCTATAGTCAAATCCATGGCCCAGAGTTAACAAAGTAAAACATGAAAAAATTCAAGAGTAATTCCTCTGCAGCCACCTCTCCAAATATCCTTGAGTTTGTTTTGTTATTTTGAAACCATTTTATTAGGACATAATTCAGACATCATCAATCATACCAAGCAGTGTTGCACAATCTCCATCACAATCAGCTTCAAAATATTTTCTTCCTTCTTGTTCTCCTTGATATCAGCTCCCAATTATTCCTCCTCCTCTGGGGAGAAAGAACCCTTATTGTAGTAACTGTCTCTAAAGATTCAGCATCCTGGGTTTCATGTACTGATAGACATAGAAAAAAAATATCAAGAATGTTACCAACAATAACAAAATACAATAAATAAACCCCAATTTGAAAAAAAAATGCTTAAAAAAACTATATCAAGCTCAAAGTGTATCAAAAGGAAGATCAAATGACAAGGTGTTAACCACTCAAGTCAGATTTGTCATTTTAATCTACTTTAATCATCTCTTTAGTAGTCTCTGTCTGATAACTAGGTTATTCCCATTCATCAATTATTGTCAGAAAGAAATCACCAGAAGATTATTCCGTGTATAGATCCTGCAAATATATTTTGGACTTCTACTGTCATCCATACACTTCTGCACTTCAGAATTTTATAATTTTTTTAAGCATTTGATTTGTTTTCTTCCTTTATTTTTTTCGAATCATTTTATTGGGGGCTCGTACAATTCTTATCACAATCCACACATACATGCATACATAGTGTCAAACATATTTGTACATTTGTTGTCATCATCATTCTCAAAACATTTGCTTTCTAATTGAGCCCTTGGTATCAGCTCCTCTCATTTTCCTCTCCCTCCCCCACCTTCCCTCCCTCACAAACCCCTGAAAATTTATAAATCATTATTTTTTCATGTCTTACACTGACCAATGTCTCCCTTCACCCAGTTTTCTGTTGTCCGTCCCCAAGGGAGGGGGTTATATGTAGA